GTTTGAAAAGTGACCTGTAGGAGCAGATGAGGTGATGCCTGGTGCCGGGCAGATTTTGGAGGGCTGGTAGCAGCCAGGAGGAAAGCTGTGACGAGCAGCGGAGGGGATGACTTCTGGTACGGGGGTCTGAAAGGGGAACTGCCCTCGGCCTCGGCTGGCAGCTCCTCGCTAGAAAAATGCACTCGTCTCGGGAAAGGGGAGAAGCTTTCGAAGGAGAAAATCTAAAGTAAGCAATGTAAAATGAGAGGGAATAACATAGATTGTGAAGTGTATAGCTTTATAACAAAATTAGGATAAAGGTGTTGCTTTTATACTGTAATGTGTATATACAAAAGACTAACAAAAAAAACCTGCTGTCTAAAACTGCCTAAAATGTTCCCAGGATGGTATTTTTCATGAATGAACTATGAATACACATACAAACAGGTCAAGAAATGATCTGATCCTGCATGGCTGATTTAATAAAAACTTGACATAAACATATAGATCTGTCATATTCCATGGGCGCGCTTGTTTCTAAGGTTGTAGATGAAATTCTGTTATTATTTCTCACATTTTATATCCCCAAAGGTTAAATTTTTGGTAAAAAGATCATATTTAACTGCTTGGCTTCTGGTAAAGTAGAATCTTAAATCTATTTCTTGAATTTTGTAAATAATTTTAACCAGTACAAACTACTTAAAATAGGCTTTTTATTATTACTATTAACAGAGTCCTTAGTTGTTTTTTGTCACTAAGGCTACACCCACTATGTTACTCGTGGTTTAACAAAATTGTTATTTGATATTCTCTTGAGGAAACAAACGGTTAAGTAATAACTGGGTTTTCTTGTAGGTGGCTATTAATTGAGTTTAAACAATTTCTTTCAAACTTACTAAATTAGGGTGAGATAGATGGGTAACTTCAAGTTCTATTTGTATTTTTACAGTGAAAGCAAGTTGAATACGTTGGTGCAGAAACTTCATGACTTCCTGGCTCACTCATCGGAAGAATCTGAGGACGCAAACTCTCCTCCAGCATTATCGAAAAACAAAACCACAGGTAAGAAGATGTTTTATGGTTCTATTTGCAATGTACGTGTGATTCTAAAGTTCTTATTTCACTTTATCGCGCTTCACTGGGGCAATTACGCAAAGTTCTAATGTGATGTAAGTGGTGATATCTTAATAAATATACTATAGACCTTTGATACAATATTTCTTTCAGTTTTGAATCTTTTCTAAATGTGAAAAAAAGCTAATCCTACTGGTCATTTACCTTCTAGGAAACATGCTGTATTTGTTGTGGTAGGGATTCCTTGGTCAGTTTTGCTGAATGTGCAAGTGGAGTATCTTGTTTTTTCTGCTGCAGTAAAGCTCTTGCAGTCCTTGTAGTTGAAAAGAAGTTTTGGAGATTATGCTTTCGTAGTTACCAGGGAAGAAAAAAATTCTACGTGCAAACTGAAAACATTTGAAAACAAAATAATACTTTAAAAAAACCTTGAATCCTACACTAGGTCGAATTTCGTATTTACACTAGGTCGAATTTCGTATTAGAAATTTTTACTTGAAAGTTACACATTGGTAAAAAATTTTAAACACTTTGATTACAGTCGTAAAAAGTAAAGTTATTTCACAACAGTACTGAATAAAATTTTTTTCCAGATTTAGCCTAGTTAAATTTGGTTCCTAATTTAGGACTCGATACAGGTGCAAATCTTTTCAGTCTTTACTGTTTAATGTCCTAAAGATTGTGCTGAAGTGATAGAATACAGGAGAATGAGAGTGGGCTGGCTGTTAGGGAGCTTATTTTCAAACTCCTGTTGTCCTAAGTAAACTTACACGGGTTTTGTGGCATTTGGTTATTATCTTTTAATGTTTTATCTTGAGAGAAGAGTCTGCAGCCATGTGGTTCTGACCTCCTTGTGTCAGCATCAAAGTGAACTGTTAACACAGAGAAAGGAAATTATTCATGTGATACTTCAGCCAACTAATAAACTAAACTGTGATGTAGATCCATCTGAAAGTGAAATTTTGCTGAGGAGCATGCTGGGAAAAAGAAACATTTTCCCTTTATCCTGTGTAGTTATGAAGTAGAATTTGGCTCCTTGCCTTGAAATACAGATGTTCTTGGAAACAGGGCTTTGCTTATTACTTAGTAGCAGACGTTTCAGTGTTGCTTTTGAGATCTCACGTTTTATTTCTTCAAAAAGAACGTATTAAGGTTGAAAAGTCCAGAATTAAACACTTGAATACTAGGAAATGGCAGAATTAACAGTGCGAATTTACTTCCCAGCTTTCTGTGCATAGAGATAATGTCTTTAGCAACTGTGCTTTTTATTGGTTTGCCTGTTTATTTATTTATTACATCCACAGGATGCTCTTTCAGTGTACAAGTGATAGACGTGATTGGGCCCAAGTCAGATTTATGTAGTAACGGAATTCGTTTTGTTCCGGCCTTTGGCAGATCTGTGAACTACCAGGTAGAGTGTTGGAAGGGGAGGTCGATGACGGTGAAGGTGATGAAGGGTGGCTCTTGCTGTGGAGCTGAACTGTCCCATAATGTTTGCGTCCTAGGAATAAGTGAAGTGGAATTGCACCAGTAACTTTCTTTCTGGCTTGTCTTAGTTTCTGAGTGCTCAGAAATGGATATAGTAAATGGCAGTGCTAGCAGGCTTATGTTAAAATCACAAATGGTCATGTGTGTATCCTCTGATGGTGCTACCGTTTTACTTGCATGTTTGTCAGCAGTGCGTCTGCTAAGTGACTGCTATTGCTAAGCTTTTTGAGCTACTTCATGCAAGTGGCATTGAATCACGGAATTTGAAACTTTCCCTTCCATTTCTTGGGCTGATTGATGGAACAGATATGGGTCGCATGTCTTGAGGCTTTACATCCCATAGTTCCTATGGTTGAGAAATGGGAGTTCTCTATCATCCCTGTATCAGATGGGATTTTTGTCTGTGGTTCCATGATCTCTGGTTTAATATTGTGTTCTTGATCTCAAGATGTGTAAGAGAAAAATTACATGAAGTAACTTCTTAGAGATTAAAAAAAATGCACTAGCTGTTATTTTTACGTATGCAATTGCCTTTTCAGTTCTCCAGTATTTCTTCACCAAAGCAAAGGCTGTCTTGCAGCCTGTCAGCGCAAAGTAACTGCAAGTATTTTCTAAATGATTTCTATAAAACCTGTGCCTGACAGTGGACTGTGCTTTGCTGTGCGGTGGTTTGTCTCCGAAAGTCACACGGTTATCTTTATTCATGCTGGTGAAACATAAACAATGCTGTGATGTGCAGTGTGAAAAAACTTTTCATGTTTCTTGCGTTTCAGTAGGTTCCTTTGATTTCTCTCCATAGGTAAAAGTAGAGAACCTAAAAGTAGTCCAGCTTCAATGGAGAACAGTAGAGAAGAGGTAGGACTAAAAATGCTTTTATATTTTATTGCACGAGTAGTGCAGCGTGGCTAGGATAGGAAATGCTGCGTTTGCTTTGTTGCTTTTACAGTGAATACTTAATCTTTTCAGAACCATGCAGCAGATGCCTGCTTATCTGCTGAATAGAAACATTAGCTGTAAAATATAACTAAATTTTAAATTTTGAGTGATACTCACTTTGATTTAGGTGTACGTGTGCAGTCCTGTTTCCCTCTGGCCCATATCTATTTCTGAATTATTGAAATACACTAAGTTTTGGTATCTGGTATTTACACTTAAGCTCTGTTAATCAGGTGGCAGTAGGTACCTAGTGGCAAACATGCTTGCTTTTTTAAAAAAAGAAAACAAGATGGGAAATATAGAATCCTTACTAAATATGAGCAAATTTCTTCTACGTGATGTGTTAAAAACATCAAAGACATTTTTCCTGTGGTGTGTCGTACTGACATCCTCTATCCTGTTGGAAACACTCTCATTGACAATATGAGACTACGTATAGAAAGCACAAGTGCCAGTGTCCTGCCTTAGTTTGCCTTTATAGCAGTAAATTCAGGCATTTATTAGATACTGCACAAACCTCTGAAAAACTGATCTTGCCAAGACAGCCAGATCTGGCTCGTCCTTCGTTCCTCATGCGTAAGCCAGATGATAAGTCTCTGCGTTCAGCTGGCAGTTTTTGGGTGCGTGCTAGCGTTAGCTCCCTAGTGCCAGCCTTCAAGAACTCTCTGTAGCTCCTTCATGTAGGATGAAAAACATTCCTAGATCTGCTCAAGCTGCTGCAGCGCTACGGGCTGCGAAGAATCCTGTGAACTGTAAAAATAGTGAAAATGCACAGGCAGGGACGGGGGGGGT